AGCTCAGCAACACAAAACATGTTTGCAGTCTGTTTCTAGATTGATATTTGAAATATTTCTAAATAAACATTAATTATTTATCCTAAAACATGTATCTAAACCATGTTTCTCTAGAAAAATCTGTGAGCACAGGCAGTGAAGTCTGAAGCCTGTGCTTGTTGAAACTCAGCAAAATTATGTTATGAACTGTTATGAACATTGAACATCATGAACATGGTCAATGCCTCCGACCTGAATTTTGCTTTGGCACTACCCATACCTCTCCAACCCCTAATTTACTTGCTCTCACAAAATGCACCCTCGGGAGAAAACCCAAACTCGCTCCAGCCTCGTCACATATGTGCATAATATGGCAACAATGATCATCAACTTGAAGTGCAATGAGTACCTTTTAAAGCGGCAAGGTTTGCATACCCACCTTCCCTCGCTTCTATCTTAAGCCTATAAAGCACGCAAGCAGGAGCCCGCTGCGATATCGCATAGGCCAGCCTATGAGCCATCGAAATTTGAACAGACGGCTGTGGGGCAACTTTTCAAGGACTTTCTTTACCATCCTCGTCACCAACAACATGTGTCCTTCCTCTCCTCTTTCTTGTCATACCCCAGCCCTCCTATTTGGATTCTCCTCATCCCCTTTCCACGATTCCCATCCCCTACATCCAGCACTTATTTACTTTTATTAATTGATATCATCCCCTTCCCTCGCACTCGATCATTTCCCCTTCCTTACACGTCCGCTATGACTCAACTAACCCCCCCTCATAGGACCCGAAAGTCCAGACAACGCTCATTATGATTGTCAGCGCCCAGAACAATCTCTGACTTCTTGAGGACTATCTTGCCGGATGGGCTCTCTGCTGCCCCGGGCATAGGATATACCACCCAGTTCGCCGACATCTGTGACTTCTGGCTGGAGTGACATGAGCCTCTATTCTCTTGTTATCATTTCCTTTGTTCTTTTTGTGAGTGTCTCGGCCATACGCGCCTACTTCATTCGATACATACCCTTATTACATCTCTCGCTTTGCATGTTACCCTCCCCTCGACCTGATGCCCCAACCTCCGTCTGTGCATTTCCCCTCTCCTCTCCCCCCTCATCCAATTCCCTTCCAATCCCAACTAACTTCCTCCCTGGCAGATCTACATGACCTCCCAACCTGCAAGATCAAAGTGCTCAGATCCACGTACCCCACCTCCACACCCAGCTTCTCCTCCAGCACCGTGAATTCCAGCACCACTTCCACCCCTTCCGAGGGCAACGGCGCCATGATTATTGGTGTTATGGCCGACAGTGTGTTTTGGTTCGTCATGTGTTGTGGGGGTGCTTGTGCTCTGTGTTTTGGGCGGCTTGAGTAGGGAAGGGGAAAGGTGGTTCAAATTAGTACAGTCAGGCAACCACGATTTCACATATGAACATTATTTCATGTGACGTTCATCTTTGGACAGTTCCAGTACTGTCGTTTATACATACATATACTTGTCGGCACTTGTGCTGGTGTTTTTGATCTGTATTTACTCACCATGTTTTGTTGTATCGCTAAAGAATCGGACTTCGCTTCCTTTCCCTCCTTCAGTCATTCGCACAAGTCTTGTGGCCTTGTTGCCTGTCCGGAGGTTTCAAGCTGTTGAGAGTTGGCCACTTACTGTTTGTTCTGGTTCTCAGGGCTGCAGTAGGACTCCTGTTTTGTACTACCGCGTTGTCTCCTATACCCAGAACTTCAGTGATTGTGCTCCGAATACACCTGCAGGTTCATATTTTGTATCTCAGTATTGACATTTGAATCTGTATCTAGTACTTCTCTTTGAACCTGGGAGGTCCAGGGGTGCAGGTACTATGACATACATGGACTGGACGCTATGGAGGTGCAGGTGAATCCCTGTCCGTCCAGTTGCTTATCGCTACGGAAAGCAGGATGCATAAGTAACCACCATACTCTAATGTGACCTACGTTGAAAGTAACGAGATAATCAACCTTGTTTTACGTACTCCAAGCTCAGGATACTGCCAAAGACCGTTACCTTTCATTGCACTTGATGGTCATTGTGAGGGCCCCTCAGGGTGTACTTCTCTACATTTCGATGAATGAGGTCAGGCCAGATCGGTTAAAACTCGACACTTCAATGACCTAACAACACTGTCATCCCTGCCATTAGTGCGGTCTCAGAATCAATCATACCTACGCCACAGTGCAGGCGCTATAGTGTAGTGGTTATCACTCGGGATTTTGATCAGTCTTATCACCCGACCTCCCGTAACCCAGGTTCGAACCCTGGTAGTGCCTTTAGACATGCGCAAAAGACCTAGTTTTATCGTTTACACGTGTAGCTTCGTCACTAGCCGAACGACATCAAGAAGGATGGAGGAAACACTTCCTCGGGTGAGGGTAGTTGTGGCGTCCGCTTTTGCCAGTGAAGGGGCTCCATGGCTGATAGTGTTTTATATCTCAATTTATAGATAGAATTGGCAGTACGAGGTCGTACTTGTTGCCAGCCTAGACTCTTTATCAATGGGGAATTTGTACCGGCCCGCATACCTGAGGATGTATTTGGCTGGAAGAAGAGTAAGTACGTTTACCGGATTAGATTGTCAGGCTAATATATAAATTCACTTCTTAGTAGCGTGATGTACGCATGCGGAGGTGCTTCCTGTAGCTTGCTGCAGGCAAGGCTTCCGAAGATACAGACTGTCTGACCTTCGCTATATATTTGGGGTGGCAGGGCACCATAATACCATAATAGTAATGTAATAGTGCATGGGTATATTTATACAAGGGTCGTGACTTCGTGGACGCAACAAGTGGGCGATGCAGCTGTTGCCGGTCGTAAACATCTCGATCCTGCGCGATCGTGTGTGATGTTTCGTCTGTGTGCAATTGAGCAGCAACAGAAGACGGTGAAACGCTCAAGTCGTCGGCAGCTTCTAAAATTCAAGGCGTAGGTCAATCCGAGCCACTAGAATATCGTGACATCATGCCATCATCTACAACCTCGCACTCCAGCTTGTAGCCATGGCGTTCCGATGGAGCCTTGTACATCAGATACCAATGCATGAACCCTATCAGCGCCACCCCGCCCGCTGCGGCTATGTGTGACTGAAGTCAAAATTGTATTAGAAATTGTCGAGAACTGGGGTAAATAATAGCTTACCCAGTACGGGAGGAACTCATACGACCTCGATCCGATGGTTGGTGGCAGGAAGGGAACCGTGACGAGGAAGACATTGGAGATAAAGAATATGACAATGACGAACTTGGGTGCCTTGAAAGGGGGCTGCCAGTCCCATTCGCGGTACGAGGAGGTGTGCATCAGAAGAAGGCCGAAGGAGACGATCATATTGACATTTGCGATTGAGTAAGTTGACACTATCGTGGGTCAGTTAAGACGGGAGTGAGCATGCACTCGATATGCTCACAGCTGATCATGAAGAGGTAGGCGTCGCCCGGCGGGGGAGCCAACATGAATACTGTGGAGATGAAATACTGGGTGAATAATGCGGCCATTGGTCCATTAAAGGGTCTTGTGCTGGCAAAGAAAGAGGATCGGGGAAGAACGCCTTCGCGCCCGAGTTCTTGAATTACTGAATGAGCCTTCGTCAGATAAGGGATGGCAGGAGAACAGATCCAGACCATACCTCGGGCATGCGTGAATAGAGCAGCCAGTACGTTACCCAAAACTGACATCGCAATGATGACGCTGAGGGCCTGTCGGGCGAATATTGGTTAGCCGTTTGCGAGGAAGGGTTCTCATCATTCTTACGGTCTCAGTTGTCGGCCCGAAAAGATTTCTGAAGAAAAGCGCCCTACGCCCCCATCATAAAGCATGAATGGATATCGCCTTATAGAAGACAAGGGTAGATGACGCACGCAACGATTCTCCCGCTGTCCAAAAGGTCCACTTTAGCAACGGCCGCAAAGTATCCAACGTTGACTACGAGGTAGGTCATGGCTGCAAGGAACATGGCCAAAGGGGCAGCGCGCCGGACCGTCCGTACGGGGTCTCGAACCTCGCCCAACACCTGATTGACGTAGGTATACCCATTGAACGACCTATAAGCAATTAGATATCAGCGGGCGCTTGCTCGCCGCAATCTTACGTTATGATTAGATGCTATCTTGACTAACCATAAGACATTGAACAAGCCGGTGACAATCGCATTAGGACTTGTCTGCGTGCTCCCTTCCCAGAACTTTGACCAAGCAAAGTTGTCGGGCGCTTGGTACTGCGGATCCACGGTAAACCCGGGGACGCCGAAGAGACAAAACACGCCTGCGATCGCGATCGCCCATAGTACCAACATCTTGGACAGTCCCAATAGGTTCTGCAGCCGAATCCCGAAAGCGGGTGTAGCCCCATGAGCTAGAAAGCAGAACGTCAAGCATAGAAGAGCGATGCCGCGGATGTTGAAACGCGATGGTTCCAGTGATAGCGCATGCGCGACGTCTATAAAAACAACAAATGTCACACGGAGTTCCGCAAAACATATCAGGCACTTACATTCTCCGAATACGATGCTATTCGCGGCTTGGGTTCTCTATGTTCTAAGTTGGCCTGTGGATAAGAGATAGAACACAAACGAAAAGACGGACTGTGAGCAACGCGTACGAGGCAAACATGCATGTCGTCAAGAACGGCGGGCTCCTATACATGAACTTGAGGTAATTCTTCTCACCGCCGCTACGCGGAAGACCCTGAGAGAGAGAGGGAGGGAAGGAGGGAAAAAGTGGTTAGGTGACGAAGCCGTTTATGTGGTTACTACACTCACGGTCCCCAGCTCCATGTACACGACGGTCCCTGTGAATGCCAGAAGGGCCCCTGCCACCCATAGAAGAAGTGCTACGCCGATGCTGCCCGCACAGCGTAGGATGATGCTTGGCGTCGCGTATATTCTGTGTGGAGATAGTGAGCAGTGGAGCTTGAGCTTCCAGGCCCGATAAGGAAGAGGGTGGACCATACCCAGTGCCAATCACGCAGTTGAATATGAGGAATACGGCGCTGAAGACCCCTGCATGTGTGCAGAGAATGAGTGTCTATCGGCGACGACGACGAAGGTACGCACCTAGTTCGTGCTCCTTGATTGAGGCATCTTTTTTGGATCGGCCTCCTGCTCAACGAGTAAATACATAGTGAGCTCAGGTACGATTCTGAGCGCTGACCGTCGTCATGTACGTCGTCAAGGTCAATCCCAGATGATTTCGAGGCAGTCGGCAGTGCAGGTCGAGGCAAGAGGTGGGTCGTTTCCGAGACTTGCCGCTGGCTGCAAGTTCCTGCTGGCATAACAGTGCGTCAGTCGTGGGTTGAAGCAGAATGGAAGTACAGGAAGAACCCTTTTAGATGGCAAGCCACAGGGAATGCAGCCCCGTTCGAGCACCGGACACGCCTTACTTGTAACTCTGCGATCTTCTGCGATATCAGGGGCGGCGAGCGGCCATCAAAATCACTGAACTATGCGGCTTCGAAGGTTTGTGATCTCCAAGTGATCTCTATCGCGAGATAAGCACCACCTGTCAAGTGCACGAGAAACCAGTTGCCAAGTGAGAAAGGGGTCATCATCGGAGAGTGCACGAGTGGCTCCAAGTCTGAGGTGGTAATGAGTCTGACGATCAGACTTCAAGTTTGAAGCTTCAGGACCGAGGTCCACTCTGGGCGCCTGATCACAATTCAATAAATAAAATTGACACACTAGCATTCGCCAACTGCTATACATACTTACATATCCTCAAGCACATGCGCAGTTACCAGTAGAAAGGGTATTTTGGAGGGAAGATGATCATGAAGAGAGGTAAAGGACAAAGCCATATCCGGCGGCAGTAAGTCCGTGACTGCTAGTTTACTGTCATACATTCAATTCCGCAGGGCTTATGCAGGGTTATGCAGGGTTATGCAGGGTAACTCCATTGACTAGACATTGACCACCAGCGGCAGTTGAAGGAAAATGAACGCTTCAGGGTCCTCAGGCAGGTGGTGGTAGACTTTGTATTTGACTTGATCTTATCTGAATTGCAGATCATGATTGTCTTGGCTTTCTGGGGGGAGATGCTGCGAAGCTTCATAGCCTTCACCATGGCTTCGCTTCCTGTGCAGCCCTGTAGCAGTGTAACTTACTGATCGATTTTCATATGCATAAGGTTGGCTATTGGAGACGGAGTACCTGTAGCATGTATGCAATCCAAACTCGAACTGTACAGGCGACCAAGCATGAACGTGTGTCTTGGGCGCAAAACTAGAACTACGATATCCTTCCTATCCAATGAGTGTAACCTACCCCTGGTAAACTATGGGACAACAACTTGTTCAAGCTCATCCATGATGGTGATCGTTCTGGTGGGCTTGCCCGACCGAGAACCATACATATGTCTCGATAGCTTTTGATGACATACATTCCACTGACGACCTCACCTGAGCAAGTAACGTCAGCCATGCCGTCTCGATATCGAAGAAGGAGAACATGAACAACTCACCAAAAACGAGCCGTTGGTGTTCTTGCCGGGCTTGGTGTGCTTGAGTATGAAGTTCTCGTCTGATCGCGGAAATTAGCAACCGACAGGTGATCGGAGTTCAGGAGACACCGTCAAAGTGCGTTCCGTAAATCGATTTGCCACCGCTGCCGTCGCCTCCTGGATCATAAATGGGGCAATCCGATGGAAAGTGGATCCCTTGTGGCCGCAGCCCATCTCGCCAGTCGCAAGAGCTCGGAAGTTTATGGCGGTCCGAACTACGTCGTCAAAAAGTTTGGAGAGTATGCGATCGCTAGCGCGTGGTTGAACTATGGTTGACACACGAGTTCGCAATGTTGTTCGATGATAATCGGCTCGAGGACCCACGTATACCTTAGCCAAGGGTGAGAAAAGACGGAGTGGATCACGAATGATGATGGTATCTCTTTCACGAGAGCAGGCTGTGGCCATTATTGCATTGAGCATCACCCCGTGGGCTGAGTCGGCTCAACGAGATCCATTCTTTACAGTAAGTAACTTACTTGATGTTAGTCTGAAAGGTCGAAGAAAAGAATATGATGACGTTACTGAAAATGATGAGGAGTGGTGATGAAGCCGCTGAAGCGCCGAAGCCTTGAGAGCGTTGGTTATTTATAGAGTGAATGCCAAGCCTGATCAGTGACCAAGTGTGATCATCGATTACCATGATTAGCACCGATTATCACAAATAACTCCCACTGTCAAGTTCCGAATCTATCTACTACTTGCAAACATACTCGTGACATATCTGACCACGTTTCTCTGAGGGCCACACAGGGATACAGTCCAAGCTTTATGAATCTTATTGT